ACTGATTGATAAACATTGGTCTGTCTTAGGACATGATTGATGGTCATGATATTCATTGACTATTAATTCTGTTCTACCCTTAAAGAGCACTTCATGACTATATTTCTATATCAATAAAACAACAAAAATCTATGTTATCAAATTAAAATGGTCATATTTTCATTACAGAGAATGAATGTGGAATAATTCTTCAGCATTTGATCACTATTTTAATTCTGAAGCACAAAGAATCAAGCATTCATTTGCAGTATTGTTTGCATGTAATTTGAAGATGATAAATTAATTGGTAAAAATTAAACCTACTTTAAAAAAATATTTTATTTATTATTTTTGTTTTTGTGTGTATGAGTGTATTGCCTGCATGGATGTGAGTGCACTTGTGCTGTGTAATGTGCAGAGGTCAGAAGAGGGTGTAGGATTCCCCTAGAACTGGAGTTAAGGACGATTTGTAGCTGCCATGTGGGTGCTGGGAATCGAACCTGGGTCCTCTGCAAGAGCAGTCAGTGCTCTTAACCCCTTAGCCATTCTTTAAAATCTTCAAAAAACTCAAAATGATCCCTATTGTTCAACTTCATGAAGACATAATTGTGTTTGTGGTAGGTTTATCTGTTCTACATAAACTTGAATAAGTAGGTCTTTTATATAATTCATTGGCCGTTATTCTCTCCAGTGATTAGTCACATTATTTATTAAACAACACAATTAACCCTAACTCATTTAGGTCAGTAAGAAAAATATACTAGAATTATTGTAGTGATTAAATGGTTTATTGTAAACCACAATATATAATCAATTATTTTAAGGTTTTATGCACAATACACACCAGAAACGCAAGACAAACTATTTGTACAATAATTTCCTGTGGCATATAAAGGTTTTCTTGTATTTTTCTAAAAAGGTTTAGAATTAAATGTTGTTCAAATAGAATTATTTAGAAACAAAATAAATTGTTGTTCAAATAGAATTATTTAGAAATAAACAAAATACATTGTTGTTCAAATAGAATTATTTAGAAATATTATGAGCCATTCTCATTTCTTAATTTATCTCAACCCAGAGGATTAAAAACTTTCTGTAAATTTCCTCCAGTTGCTGATAAAACTTTTTGTTTTTTCATTTTTTACTAGGCAAACTAAATGGGCCAAGAAAATCTCAAAAGATATTAGAAAACATTTTTAAAAACCAGATTAAAATAATGTATCATAATAAAATTTATATTATGGAGTTAATGCATAATTATAAGTACATTTAGGGCATTAAATGCTTAGAAGAAAAAAGAAAGGCATCAAACCAACTTTCTATTGTTTAGGAATTTATAGAAAATGAGAAAAGTTCAAGACAAAGTAAACAAAGAACAGAAACCAGTAACTTGGAAAGCAGGGAAAGAGAGAAAAATGAAGCTCTGGGTTAAAAAAATAATAATACAATTAATAAACCTCTGGCTGCGGGGGTGGAGAGAAAAGGAGGAGGAGAGGAAAGGGAAAGACATGAACTGTCAATGTCATGATTGAGACTAGGATATCCATCAGTAAAAGATTAATAATGAGTGATACTAGTGTATAATTGTGACAACTAATACCAATTAAAGAACACCAAGACCTGGAAAAACAAGTCTACCATGTTCATGGACTGGAAAGTCAACACAGTAAAAATTTTGGTGCTCTGCAAGTCGAAGTCTAGATCTAAAATAATTTTAATCAAAATTCCAAAAAATTTTTCTGTAAACAGTTTCATCCTAATTTTTCTATTGGAAACCAACAGAAACAACACATCTAACACAATCTTGGAAAGGACAATAAAGTTGAAGGATTCACAGAATCTTGCTTTATTACTATGGAATTTAAACAGAAAAGGCCACTGCCAGCAGATAGAAAGAGAAAATGAAAAAAACAAAAAACTGTGTGTGTGTGTGTGTGTGTGTGTGTGTGTGTATCTCCAACTAAATTTTTTTAGAAAGCTACAAGTATTTCTATGGAGAAAAGATTGTTTTCAGCAAAGGTGCTGAAAAAATCGCATATTTCTATTAAAAACAATAGACTTTGACTTAAACCACATTTATTTTAAAAATCAATTCAACATAAATCATAATTCTCAATGTAAATACAAAACTGTCCAACTTTCAGGAGAAATCATAGGAAAAAAATCTTTATAACCTTAACTCACAGTTTTTAGTTATGTTATTATACCCCAAACAGGGGTCACTAAATTTTTTTTGAGAGGCTGGACTTCAAAAAATTAAACGTGTTTCTCTGAAGGAAAAAAATGTAAAAAAAAAAAAAAACTGAAAGGACAAACAGGCTGGGTAGGAAAAATATATTATATATTATGAATTATACATCCAAAGTAGAAATTATATCTAAAATATATGAGAATCTTCAAAACTGAATAGGAAAGAAATAATTTAAAAATGTACAAAAGATTTGAACAGATAGTTCACTGAAGACTATATATAAATGAAAATGTTCAATATCATTTGGGAAATGTGCATTAAAACCACAATGTGATGCCACTGAATACTGTATTCGAGTGATTAAAAGAAAGAGGATTTAAAAAAAAAAACAGATGTTTGCCTTCATGAATACATAGTAACTGGAAACTCATTCATCACTCTTTGGAATGCAGAGTGGTACAACCAGGGAAACAATCTGACAGTTCTTTGTCTAGTTGAATAAACACTTACCATATGATCCAGCAATCCCACTCCTGAGTATTGACCCTAGAAAAATTAAAAAATTGGGTTGACTAAAATATGTACAAGAAAGTTTATAGCAGTTTTATTCACTATTACTAACAACCAGAGCAATGAAGTAATCTTTCTATGCTGGAGAAATCATCGTTCATTCACAGAATGGGAAATTATTGAACAATAAACAGAACAAACTATAGATGTAGGTGACAAATTGGTAAGTGTCAAAGAAAACTTTGCTTAGTTAAAAATATCAGCCTCTAGAGTGCATACTATATGATCTATTTCTATATTATAATATTATTGTAACATTATCAATAAGTAAAACTAAAGCAGAGAACAGATTAGTATTCCTCAGGGATTAAGGACTGATTAAAGCATGAGTTAAAGGTATGGAGGGAGGTTTAAGCACCCTCTCTTACGCCTACTGTCATGGGCATGAGAAGAACCTGTACATGCAGTTAAACCACAGACCTAAGCCAGGAAGAAGTACGTTGTAGGACATGATAAATAAGAAAAATGAGATTACATTAGATTTAAAATGAGGTTTGCTGGTTAAATACAGTGCATTGCCAGGCTTTTCCACAAAGCTGATGCTCAATTATATATTGTTGAATAAAAACACTGGAAATTGGCTGTAGTTTCTCCACTGATGGCAATCTAACCTACATCTCCAAGCTTTAAGGATTGAAATAAAATTTTTGTTAGTATTTTTAATAATTTCTAATATGGTATATGCTGTGAAAATACTTCTGGCTTCCATAAACTTCATTAAAAATGTCAAGTGTTAAAAATACAACTTTCCTAACCAATTATTTGAAACTTTAAAATATCGTTAATAAGATAGTGAAAATAAAAACATTGATAAAAAAACTGAAGATGATACAAAAGTAGAAATACTAAATGAATTAGTATTATAATGTCTGTACCACCCAAAGTGATCAATAAATTCAATATAAGATTTATAAAAGTACCAATTACATTTTTTCATAGAAATAGAAAATTCAAATCAAAATATATATCTAATCACAAGAAAGTTCTAAATACCTAAAGCAATGTTGAGCAAAAAGAGCACAGTAGGAAGCATTACACTACTCAGCTTCAAACTACGCTACAAAGCAAGAATGATCAAAACAACATGGCATTAGTATTAATACAGACAAACCAATGATCAGAATAGAGAACCAAGAGGCAAAAATATACAAGATCAAAGCCTTCAATAAATCATGCTATGATATTGTATATGTACATAGAGAATAAGGACACCAAACTATTGCTCCCCATTACAAAAATCAATACAAAACAATCAAATATTTAAATGTGAGACCTGAAGTTGTGAAACTACTAGAAAAAAAACATGGGGGAAATGCTTCAAGACACTAGAATGAAGAGAGTTATTACTTTTGGTTTTTGATGTGCACCTCAAAACACAGGAAATAAGAAAAAACAGACGGGATTACATCAAACTACAAAGCTTCCATGTAGCAAGGAAACAATCTATAGAGTAAGGAGACATCACACGGATTGGGTGAAAATATTAGCAAGTTCTGTGGACAAGATGTTGATAGAATATTTGCAAACTCTAAAATCTCAACAGCAAAAAGCTAATAATCTGACTTAAAATAGATATGCTTTTGTTTCCATTAAGAAAAAAGTGACAGAAAATTTAAATTGTCAATAGTAGATATTACTTACATGTTATATGATTATTTTCCTAATTAAAAAAAGAAAAGGACAGAATCTGGGCCTGGGGAACAGTACCTACCTAGCATGGGCATGGCCCTGGATTCCTTCCCCCACACTACAAAGAGAGGAAAGGCAGAATATGTATTGAAGTCACCACACAAATTCTTGGTATCTCAGGCAAGAAATTGTTAAGTGTTTATAGCATGAATCTTGAGTAGACATGGAGTGGTCTGTGAAACTCCCATTATTTTATTCAGTAATTCTTGCTAGGGCTTGTCTTCTTGCTGAGGTCAGCATGACTGATGTTAGCAGTTATCATTATTTTTACCTTTAACAATGGCATATGCTTATATCATACCCTTTCTGTTGCTCTATTCTTACTAAATTTTCTGCTGGAGAGATATTGGTCCCTTGCCTACCTACAGCTCTTTGCAACCAATTAAGCCTGTAAGCGTTCCGCTATGTAATTCCCTATGATGACCAGTTGCAGATCTGACTCAAGATTTGTCAATTTCGATGAATTAGCTAAGCAGATTGGCCAAATTGTGTGTGTGTGTGTGTGTGTGCACGTGTGTGTGTATGAATAAAAATGTCAATCAAAAAATGTCAGCATTTAACCCTAAACTTGCTCTTCTCTAAACTGTAAAATAAAATATTCCTGTTATGAAATTATTAATAATACAACTGAGGTTTTCTCACAATTTTGTTTCTTTTAAATTCCTATTTATACAATAAATATTCAGAGCCCTCCATAATTTTAAGGCATTCCTTCTGAATACTCATTTAATATATGATCATCTATAAGTTAAGAATAAGCAGAATTCTCCATAAACATTTTTAATTTCATAGTTTCAATAAATTTTACCATGAATATATTATAATGATGCAAAACACACTCATTTCTATTAAGTATACCTTAATATTACATTATATCAACATTACAAATAAACCAAACTGGGATGCTCTTACTGGCACCCAATCAAAGACGCAACACAATTACCAGGAACTATCCTGTTAACTGGCTGCATCACTCACTGTAGTAGTTTTATTTTACTGAGTCTATGAATAGGATAATAATCCATGAGTTCACTTAACAAATACAGAAAACAGTTCCGGTTTTTCTATTTTAATTCTTATAATTAAATACAATACACTAATTACTAGGAGATACCATGTACATCTAATAGGCAAACAATAAAGGTAATTTACAAAAGAAAATTTATACAGAAATACACTAGCCCCAAAACTTCCACTTTTTCATAGCACTTCAGCTATTGGCTTTAATTGGTTTCCACAGCACAGGGCATTTATTGTCTACTCTTTCACACACACACACACACACACACACACATACACACACACACATACACACACACTGAAGAATGCTATTATGAAGCACATAAGTAGTTCAAATAACAGAGAAGCAAACTCTTTACAAAATCACAATATGGGCAAATTACTCTCCAGACAAGTCTCAAAATTCAGGAGAGTTATTTATATCTGGATGATGTGATCACATAATTAAATAAGGTTTCTTGAATATTCAATTAAAATAAATGTGATGAAAGTTACCAGATTTTGTTGCCAGATTAGACTTAGAACATTTTTAACTCAGCACGAATTAAATCATAGAAAAAAACAATATAAACATACAATAGATTTAAAATACTTGTCATAAATCATCCAGTTTCAATACCATGAGGTAAATGTGCTTCTAATATATTAGCAGAATTAGGGGAAACTGTGCAAAAGAGGCTTTTTCTAAACATGCATGAAGGACAGAAACAGGGTTATGCATTGCTTACGATAAGAGGGCTGCATAATTATTAGGTGCACACAGATTAAAGCAAGGATTTTATAATACAAATATTCAAACTTAGTTCTATTCCCCAAGCCCCAATATTTATAAATACATATTTTTGATAAACTCTGATTTTTAAAAAGTTACCTGTTTCTGTAGCCATCTTTCATGCCTTCGCTGTTTCCTTCTCAGAGTCCTCAACTTGCTCCTTTCTCTGTTATTCAGCCTGTGGTTAATGGTGCCCAAGGGAAAACTGGCCGAGTGCAGGAAGTCCAGAGGGTAGAGGTGCTCTTCCTGGTCTGAGGCCTCCAGCATGCTCCTTCTGGCCGAGGGCAGATCCATCAGGAAAGTCAGACTGCTAGTATTAGCATGATCAGAGTACACTGAAGAAGCTTCTAGACCACACTGAAATTCTCTTCCTCTTTGTGTCTGGGTCTCATTGGGAGCCACTGATAATCTTTGCAGCAGCATATTGGGATCAAAACTGGATGGATTTTGAAAGGCGCAGCTATTTTTACCAGATGATAAAGGCAAGCCGGAGAGGTCAAGAGGTTGTGTTTCATTCAGCCTGGGGTAGGTAGTGGTCTTACTATGGATGTCACATAAAGTAGGCAATAAAGTCAGCTTCTCACTGATGTTCAGATCCAAACTATGTGATTTTCTGTGAAAAGCTCTTGAAGTGCATCTGCCAGTCACAAGCTGGGGAACAAAAAGCTGGTATTTTGGATCTGATGCTTTGAAGAATAATTTTTCATTCTTCATCTCAAAGTATGTTGCTCGGACCTCCAGGCAGAGTGCTTCTGTTAATCTTCCAAGGCCATTATTATTTGGGGCCATGTTTAAAAGCCTGTGATTTCTGATTTTGGAGCCACCACCTGTCAGCAGAATTTCCTTATCACAACCTGACTGAACTCGAGGATGTGAGAAGTACTCCAGCGATGGTCTCATTAGTCTGCCTGCCTGTGCTGGTTGATAATCAGTCCGGCTCTTGGAGAGATGTACAGCTGCAAGCTGGCCACAGGAGCATTTTGGAGCGCTGACAAAATTAAAGCCCCCTAAGCGGGCCCCGCAGAAAGGACAATTCAGTTTTCCAACTGTCCACTGGGCCTACAGGTAATAAAGGAAAAGAAAGACAATGCTTTCATTGTAAAGTGACCAGAGAATGAGCTTGTAAAAAAGCCTATCACATGAAAGTTTTCTGTTACAGAAAAGGCTTTCTGTTTTTTGATTAGTAGACAGAACAGCAAATGGAAACAAACAAGCCTTTCCATATATAGAGATCAGTAACTACAGAGTTCTAAAATGAGAAGATATTGTAAATCATGCCTATCCAAACAATACTAAGAATTCCAAAAGAAAGCCTCTAAACAATGGGCTGAATATGGATACAGTGTTAACTAATGAAAAGAAAAATACTCTATGGACCCAGGAAGCAAATCAGTCTACAGAGCTTAATTTGCAAGTAAAATCTCAGAGAAAAGTATCTGTTTTGATACACTACTTGCATACCAAGCACAGGGGGAGGGAACTTTATCCAATCAAAGAATAAAGCTCTTCCTGGCTTTTTACATACAACCAAAAGACACTGACTGCTTATATCAGACAGTATATTTTCATACTCAAATTAGAAATTAATAAAGTCCCTTTACAATTATCTTTTCAACAAAGATAATGGAAGATCTGTAGGGTTCTAATATATTTTGTAAAGTTCAGAATACTCACAAGCAGAAGGCTGGCATTCTCCCAGGAAATCACTACAGTGTGAGAATGTATTCAAGAGATACCTACCAAGCCTCAGTTTAAAATAAAACTGTAAGCTATGCAGTGAAGAAATTTAATTATATTTTTTCAAAG